CCGTGATTCCCGAGTTAATAGTCTACCCGCCAAAATTTTCACGAGGCCGTAGGTGGTACCCGAGAGTGCGAGAACGCTGAATTCGTATTGTCAAGGTTGAGAGGGGGAAGTGGGTCATTCCCCTAAAATTTCGTCCCCCTAGACTCCGTGTTTCCCGAGATATTAACTTACCCGTGAAAAACTTGGGGGGGGGGGGCCGTACGCGTTACCCGCGGATACGGAGAAGCTGAATTTAAATTTGCGGGATCATACGTAGGTAAAAAACTTTCACAGGGCCGTACGCGTTACCCGCGGGTACGGGGAAGATGAATTTAAATTTGCGGAGTCACACGTGGGTAACGTTATCCTAAATTTTCAGCTTCCTAGCTTTTGTGGTTCCCGAGTTGAAAGTTGCGGACAAGTTACTGCGGACGCACATACACACACAAACACACACACAGGCAACCCCGAGACAATATGCGTTTTGTACTGCTGTTACACAGCACAAAACGCATAAAAATACACTGTTCTTGCCCACGGTTCTAACTATTCAAAGAGGATAAGCAACAAGTCCTCGACATATTTTTTATCATTACGTTCAAATCTGTCCAGTGGTGTGAGCGTTCCTCAAAAGAAGTGCTTCAGATACAGATATCTGAAAGGAATGCATGAAAGACTATTATCGCAGTCCCTATGCAACAATTTTACTGCTAAAAAGTAGTTGAGAATAAACGAATGCGCTTCACTATTAATTTAACAGACTCTTGAAAAGGTATGCAGTGAAAATATGCTAATGCCGCTTGAGAGATCGATGTCAACGATACCGTCAAGAAAAGGCGAGAAACACCAAACATGCATCTATAGCTGTAACATGCTTCCACACATTACCTCTTCTAAGAATTTGGGGGAACATCATGCGATTCACAGTATGTGCATATGTGTGTAAAGAACATGGCCAAGGACAGGACAAATCCTAACATGAGGGGAAATAAAACGATTTTGTTCGATATGGAAGAAGGTTATAGGGATGCTGGCGGAGGTAGGTTCACTGCCAACAGGAAGCAGTCTCTCCAAACCACCTGTTGATTTCAAAAAAATAAAAAAAAAATCAAAATTAACCGAGTTCGTAGAGAAAAAGCCCAAAAATCGCCAGAGGAAAAATGAAGAGACACGTGTTTGCCTGAAAGAAAAGCTCTTTCCCAAGAAACGTGGCTGAATAAAGAGCTTTTGGTGTCACTTAGATGCAGTTATCCGTCAAACGGGGTCAGTTCCAACAATTTTCAAAAATGCTCATTTGTGCTTTTTGCGGTGAAATGCTGTCACCGTTATAGGTAAAAAGATACAAAAAGAACTGGAACCAGACAGCAGATTCCAAACACGGTGCAACACTTACGTCGAAATCAGGCAGCAATGGA